GGGTCTAGGGTTTGGGGATGTTTGGGGACTAAAGATTTGGGTTTAGAAGTTTTGAAAATCTGCCTGAGCCTGCCTGCAAGGGTGCAGACTGTGGATGGAGGACATCTTACGCCACCTAGGCCCCTTACACACGAGGAGTTGCGGGATCTTCAGTGTTGCCAGATTTCCTCCGTCCTCCGCAGGAGGGAACGATTTTGGGTTTACGGTTTTGGGATTAGGTTTTGCGCCCCGCACTTGGTGTATCCGGGTGAACTGGGTTATGACAACGCTGAAAACCTCCAAGCGGCAATTTCAAACGGGTACATAGGGATTCATAGGGACGTAGAGGGTTTAGTGTTCAGGGTTTAGGCTTTACACTAAACATTTCAGAATTCAGACTCTTCCAAGCTCGCACGAGACCCTACAAAGCTCGTTCATGAAGGATGGCTGTCTTTGTAGGGCCCATCTTGGCGTTCCGTGCTTCCCTAGACCCTGAACCCTAAATCCTAAACCTTAAACCCTAAACTCTGCGTATCATGGGAATACCCTCAACCTTGAACCGCTCGTAGATGGCTGAGGAGGACGTTTGATGATATATGACCTCCGCTAGCCCTAAACTCTACATAACTTCTTCATGCCCTTACATAATCCCATACAACCTTATATATCCGTTATCATCCCCATAAAGGGAGCGTTCCGTTCTTCAGGTCGTGTCGAGCTCCTGGTTATCGGCTGTTAATAAAATGTATACCCATAGCATAGGGTTTCAGGCTTAGAATGGAGGAATGGATGCCCACAGTGGCCCCATACATAATCATCAGCAATATGGTAGTTCCCCTAAATAAGGGGACCCCAGCGTAGACCCCAATATACTCTAATTCTTATTATGGGGACCCCAAAAAGGTGCCCTTGTTTTAGAAAACCCGCCAGAAGTAGTTTCCAGTTTGTTTTCAATCGTTATGTTCCCTACTAACAAGAAGCAAGCTTTTCAGAATGTTTTGCAATCATATTCTGGCCTCGTGTGCTTAAGTTTTGGAGTCCAGGGCTTCGGGTTTGGGGTTTAGGGCTTGGGGTTTAGGGTTTAGGGCTTGGGGTTCAGGGTTTAGGGCTTGGGGTTTATGGTTTAGGGTTTGCAAATTGGGCAGGATGAAGCCCAAGTCGGGACAAAGCTCTTACAGCTCCGCTTGCCGCATCTCGCTCCGCTTCCCCCAGTTTCCTGCTTACCTAGAGACCCTTGCAAAGGGTAAGCATGCCAAACTGCTGGGTACAGTTTCTTGAAAACAGGTATGTCCGGAGATTTCATCTTGGATTTGTGGTATATGCTATCTCAAATAAACAATAGACTTCAAAGTGATAACCTCAACCCTCAACCCTAAAGCCTAAACCCTGAACCCCGAAACCCTAAATCCTAAACCCTAAAGCCTAAACCCTAAACCGGGTTTTTAGCATCAACCGAATGCCTCTTCCAAATGAGCCTCGGCCGCTGCTTCACGCTGCAACGGGCGTAGCGCTGGGTGTGGCTGGGTTTAGGGGGTTAAAGGGGTTTAGGGGGTTTAGGGTCTAGGGCTATGGGGTTCAGGGTTTAAGATTTAGTTTTTGGTGTTTGGGGTGTGGGGAGAGCAAACTTAAGCCAAGCTACCGCTACAAAGAAACCTTTTACACTAGTTTCCACTTCATTTCTCATTTTCCGTTTGATTCCCGATTATCCCTAAGCCCCAAAACATGATCCCTAGATCCTGAACCCTAATCCCTCAACCCTAAACCCTATAAACCTCCAACCCCAAATCCAACCCTAAGCCCGCATCGCAACCCAGGTGGTTGTAGGTTTGGTTCTGGAAAGATGGAGGCGGCGAAGTGGAAGCGCAGTGCCTGAAGCCCCCCTGGTTTTTGAGACCTGCCGTGCTCACCGGCTGGTGTCTCCGCAGGGCCATAAGTATCTGGGAGGCAGTTTAGGGTTTAGGGTTTGGGGTCTTTAGGATAAGTAGCCACTTCCTTATTGTTGTATACGACGACATATTCATAAATCATTGTTGGGGCCTGTAAACTATCACCCAGGTATAAACTGATGGTCTCCCTGCCGCTGCATTACAGCACGCCCGATGCTGTACAGACTCGTCATCCTGTGGTGTATGCCCTTGATGCGGAGCCCTACCTGTTTCCTCTACTGGCAACCGCAGCTCGAACTGAGCATTTCTTCAAGAGAACAACCTGGTATCCTGATCTGATAGTTGTTGGCATAGTGGCTGACATTGAGGAAGAATTCCGAAATTCTGACGCTTGGTTGTTCAGTGGCAATATTTAGACAATACTTTTTGGGCTTCTGGGTTCCTAGTTTTTTCCCATGAACAAAAAGTACAACCCTAAATCCTATACTTTTGCAAAGTGGGCTGGTGAACAGCCTAGGAGGGCTTCCTGGACGTTAGAGGCCTATGGGACGCCTTGCGCCCGACACGCGCAACTAACTGGTGGTTAGTAGGAAGAAGGGATTATAGGAAGAAGGGATTATAGACTTAAATATTGGGTTATCTAAGGACTAGAAAGGGGATGTATAGGGAATACACGGAATACACTATATAGGGATGATATAGGACTATATTCTCTTATTCCCTATTGGCCACTAGTAAGGCAAGGGATTACCTGCCAACGGCTGCGGAGAGCCCCTGGGGTGCTCCTGGGGCTGTGCCGCTTAAGGATGTTTCGGGGCACGCGACTACCTTCGTCCGCTTCTTGGCATCGACGGTGGTACCTTTTGTGGATGCTACCTATCGCACGCTGGAGCAGCGCGCTTTAATTGGCAAATCCTTTGGCGGTTCCGGCGTTGCCCATGCCATCCTGGATGAAGTGGCATCAACTGTCTTCCACTACTTCCTCCTGGGCTCACCATCACTTGCCTGGGATGACAAGGCTTTCTTCCGCCTGGAAGAGGAGAGCAGCAAGACAAGACCTCCCATTTCTGCTGGCGTGTACGCTGCATGTGGCTCAAAGGATCAGTCGCCCCAAAAGCTGAGAGGAAGCTAGGTGGGTTAAAGGATCCCTATTGTAGACTCCATTATGTTGGGGGGCTTATTTCCTATGCACCACCTTCCCTATACCTCAAACCCTTAAACCCTTCCTTAACCTCACCTTCTGAGCCCTCTTGAGAGGAGGAGGCCCAGATGCAGACCTTGCAGGACTTCAAAAGGGTTCTGGAGAGCCGAGGGCATCCCAACCTGTCAGTGACCGTGGAGGTTGCAGGGGTTTAGGGTTTAGGGTTTAGGGGGTTGGGGTTTAGGGTCTAGGGTTTAGGGTCTAGGGGGTTGGGCAAATAGGATTGTTGGTCTTTATCTACTTGCATACCTATATCAGCCCTGTAAAGCCAGAGAAGATAAGATGTGCAGGACGTATAGGGCATCTTTATTGACCTTAATCCCTACTGGCAGGGTCAGGGAGACTTAGTAAGTAGGTTGATAAACCCCTTTAATCCACCATTATAAACCTACTTGCTTAGTCCCCCTGACCCTCTCCAAGTATCTCTAACCTATGAAACCATCAACGATAAGAAGTATTGGGCCCCCAAACCTACCCTACTTGGAGGCCCATGGGCCTTAGTAACTACTTATAACTGGGCTTATAACCCTACTTTTAATTTTCCTAAATGGGCTTATAGGGGTTACCCCAATTATAAGTAGGGTTATAGTTATAATCCCAGTTCTAAGTAGTTACTAAGTCCGACGGGCCTCCAAGTAGGTTGTTGATGGAGAAGATCATGGGTCGCTGTCCTATCCTTTCGCTTGCCGGGCCATGAAGTGGCTTCGGGACCAGCTGCACACTGGCTGAGATCATGGGTCAAAAGGCTTTAGGGCTCTAGGCTTTAGGGTTTAGGCTTTAGGGTTTAGGGTTAAGGCTTTAGGCTTTAGGGTGTAGGGCTGTTCGAGAGGCTAATACCTGTCTTCCCTCGGCCTTCACCAGTTGGTTAGTTGTTAATTTTTTTCCCTGGGCCCAGATGTCACACGGCCCCTACTTATGCAGGTTACACGAAAACTGAACCACCCTTTTTGTCAACCTCGCATTTGTTTCTCAAGCGTGGCTTGTGATTAACCGCTTTGTTCCAGAGGGATCGGTTATGTATGGGTATGGGGTTGTAAAGTGATTAAATAGGGTTTATATGCGGGCTATGCAGGGATTATGTAGGGTTAGGGCTTATGCAGGGATTATATACGTGTGTAGGGAATGATCGACTGCTTGGTTCCAAAGAGCATGCATCCCTAAAAACCAAGTAGATAGAATATGGCTTTGGGTATATTAGAGTAAGATCCCCATATACCCCATATTCTATCATGTTAAGCGGGACTATAAAGCCTAAACCCTAAACTCTAAGCCGTGTTGTCTTTGACATGGCGTCACATGCGCAGTTCTGGCTTGAGAACTAGGTCGGGAGCTACATCTACACACGCATACATATATGTATATATATATATACACAGAGGGATGAGTGTAATTCATGTATGTATACATAAATACACCCGTATATAAGGATCAAATAGCAATACATGGAGATTGCTAGGGTACCTACGGGTAGCGAAAATCCAAGTTACAACCAGGTGATATGCCATAGTCCACTAGAATTAGCCACCTACACGACGCTAGTGTTGCATCATATACCTACCTAGCTTGAAAATCCTAAGCCCTCGACCCTACACGAACATTTGTTCCAAACGAACAGTCAGCGAGCCAGCACACGTTATGTAGTGCCCCAAGTCGTGAGTTCCAACTCAGAGATTAGGTTTAGGGTTAGGGATTAGGGAGCTGTGTTTGGTGAATTTCTCAGCAGAACATGTTTCAGCAGAGGTCCCCCTTTGTTCCCCCCCAAATCTTAGGGCTCACATGATAAAACAGACCTTTCCCAGGACAAGGAGCCTTATTGTAAATTCATATTATTTTTGATAACCCTCATATGAGCTATAGCCTAAATTCTTAGTATTCCACTAAATAGCCCCTCGAATACTCCCCTATATAATCCCTTATACATCCCCCTCTAAAGAGCTTAGACTATAGCCATATTACATAATATGGGAACTTCCAAGAAAGGTTCCGGTTTGGCGTTGACCGTTGAGGGAGGACACAGGGGTGCCTTTGGTAGTTCAGTTTAGTCCCTCATATATTCCCTAAGAGGAACCCGTGGTCAGTAATCATGTGGGAAACATTGTCTCTAGTTCAAATAGCCCCCCACATTTATCTTTAAACCCTAAACCCCAAACCCCCTCAACCCTGCACAATGGACATATCGCTGCTTGAGCGGGCAGCAGCGGTGGGTAGTGCCCAGGCCATGAGGTCTTAGGGCTTTGGGTTAAGGGTTGTGGATTGCAGCTTTATTGCTAAGGGTTGAGGGTTCAGGATTGAGGGTGCATGGCTGCGTGCGAAGTGATCCTATGGGCCGACTGTGGCTGGCCATCTAACACGTTCACCCAGTGTGTGGCGTCTGAGGCAGCCAAACCACCCAAACCTACACGGTTGGAGGTTTATTCCCTAAACTCAATTCGGTCTATCTTGCTCAACAACCCAACCCCCGCCGTTCCAGGCGGCCAAGCCACCCTAACCTTTTCCTATTGGGGTTTATCACCTAAACTCAATTAAGTCCATCATGGCCAACACAACAACTCAATTACTCCCGCACACTCTGAAGACCTGTCTTGCCGCTGTTTGGACCGGCCACTTGACAAATAAAACAGTCCCAGGTTTGGCAGATCACATGCGCAAGTCCCAGGACCCCATAATCCGACAAGAGGCTTGCCGACGACAAACGCGAGACATTGTGCAAACACAAGGGAAGTAGCATTCCCTAGGAAGCGGCAATAACGAGTTTTTTGTACCCAGAATTCGCGGCCTTTCATCTAGAGCGTGCTGGCGCCAAAAAAATGCCATCCGACGAAAACCTAATACTTTGCCTTGTTCCACAGCCTCAAGAAACGTTTGTCCTGGAGTGTCCAGGCTCAGGCATTTCGGGACGTGTGCCTTGAGAGATGTCCGAGAACGTGCCGGGACCGCTGTCCCAAGTCATCGAGAGGTGTTTGGGAGCCATGAAGCCTTAGGCTTCTGAAGGCCTTGCAAGCTTATAGATTCGTGAAAGGGCTCTGGCCTGGGACAAGCCTGGGAGATTCTGCAGGCCTTGGGAGGCCCTAAAATATCAGCCAGCCCCCTCCAGAACGCGAGTCCTGGGGTCCAGTTGCATTGTAGGCGGGCTGCCTAAGCCATGAGTGTAGGTTTAGGGCCGTTTAGGGTATAGGTTGGAGGGTCAAGGGTTGAGGAACTTGGGCTGAGGGTTTAGGGTGGGTTTAGGGTTTGTACAGGGTAAGGAATTGGTGAAACTTCTCGGCCCACGATTGTTGACGAACCGTTTCATAGGTTGGCTGTAGGGATGGATTCCCGTGGAAAAGTAAAAGCAATTTCCTTTGAGGCGCCTAAACCCCGTACCCTAAACCGATTTCACCTTAAACCATTAACCCTACAATCTAGGGTTGCTGCGGTGCAGGGAGAGTCTGAGTGGCCTTCAGCCGGGACCCTACAGTTGATATTGAAAGCCTTGCACAACCCAAGTAGCTTATACACGGAAATCATGGCATGTTAGTACATATACTAGGGTCATGCAGGTTTTTTTTACAAGCAATAGAACGTCGGTGTTCAAAAGCTGGCTCGTCAAATGGTTCATGTTTAGAAATCCAAAACCCTAAGCCCTACATCCTAAAGTCTGATCAAAGCAGGCACAGTATGCCCTTGGTTCAGCCCTGCTGACGGGTTCCGGTGTGGAGAAGGAGCCACCTTGCAGTCCCGGTGTCAGCGCTTAGGGTGTAGGGTTTAGCGTTGAGGGGTTTGGGGCTTACGGATTAGGGTTCAGGGTTTGGGGTTTAGGGTCTAGGGATTAAGGGTTAGGTTTTGGGTGTAGGGGTTTGCAGTTTAGGGTTTTCAGGGTTCAGGGTTAGGGTGTTGTGGGGGCTTGAACCGTTCTCGCTGCTCAATGCGCGGCAGATGCGGATCTTAAGTCGTGGGGCCTTATCGGGGTCGAGGGTTTAGGGTTTAGGAGCATGCGAATGTTGGCGCATGTCCAATCGATTTCGAAAGGTAAGCCTCAAAACCCTAAATCCTATACCGGCTTCCAATTTCTTTGCCAGTCCCTACAACATGCCCCTACAGTCCTGATTGTAGAACCATAAAGTCCCCCATGGATCCCCTTGCAGTAAACCGTAAACCTTACCTGGAGGTTCATGGGACCTCGTAGCTACTTCCAACTGGGCTTACAGCCCCACTTATAATGCCCGTATTGGAGTTAAGTAAGGTTATAAGTCTTATAAGTTATTCCTAAGTCCCATGAATCCTAAGCCCCAAACGCCAATCCCTAAACCCTATACATCGCTCTAACCCCTTAAAAGGGCTGAAATTAAACCTCCCAGTAAGGTTGGCCTGAGAGTTTCATAAGCCAAGCCTGCAGGATGCCAATGTGGAGACTGAAGGATGGACTTCCTAAACCCTAAGCCCTAGGTCCTAAACCCTAAACCTGAAACCCTAAGCCCTAAATCCTTAACCCTAAATCCTAAACCCTAAATCCTAAACCCTAAACCCAAAATCCTAAACCCTAAACCCTAAAGCAATACAGAAGGGTTAAGGGCTTAGCGGCTAGGGTTTAGGGGTTAAGGATGTAGGGCGTGTGTTTGAAAAACCTAAAGCCCACCCTCCTCCACAATAACATGGAGCCCCTATACAGCCCGATTTCCATAGGACAGTTGTCTTCATCGGGCCCTTTGTGGGTTCCATGTTGGTCTGAGAGAGGGCAATCCCTGAACCCTAAACTCTAAACCTTAAATCCTGAACCCTAAACCTTAAATCCTGAAGCCTAAACCTTTAAATCCTGAACCCTAAATCTTAAATCCTGAGCCCTAGACCCTAAATCCTGAACCCTAAACCTTACATTCTGAACCCTAAACCCATGTTTTGAACCCTAAGCCCTAAAACCCGAAATCCAAAACTGTTAACCCTCAACTCTCAAATCCTAAGCCATGGGGAAGGATCTATTGCGGGCGGCAAGCCTCTTTCGGGCAGCTGCACTGCAGGGGCACGCGGCGGCCCAATGCAACCTAGGCGCCATGTGCGCGCAGGCTGGGTCTAGGGTCCAGGGTTAGGGGTTCTCGGGGGTGATATCAGTTTGTTGGGTTTTCGGGATTATGTAGGGTTATGTAGGGTTTTTTGGAATGATTTGGGGAATGGAGGAAGAGAAGCTAATTTTGTTCAACCACATGTCCTGAGGTTTGGGGTTTAGGGTCCCTAAACCCTGAACCCTAAACCCAAACCCTATATACACCTATATAACCCTATCACCCCCCTTAAAACCCTAAACCCTAAACCACTAAAAAGAGTTTAGGAATGGCGGGTTGGGTCACTCAAAAATAGTGTCTATGAGTGGCTGATGCAGTCTTTGAGCTCCAGAGGTGCGATGGTCATATAGGGTTTAGGTTTAGGGTTTAGGGTTAGGGTTTAGGTTTAGGGTTTAGGGTTAGGGTTTAGGATTAGGGTTTTACGGTTAGGGTTTAGGATTACGGTGTAGGATTAGGGTTTAGGGTCTAGGGTACCCAGAGAGCCCAACATAGCTTGATTAAGGGATATACCTTAAATTATAGTAGGACCCTGAATATGATTTGGGGTATATTCCTTAATTAAGCTATATTGGGCTCCCTGGGTATGTAGAGCTTTTAAAAGCAAGTTCGACAGCCACCTCTACATGCAATGTATGTAACACGATGTAAGCTATGCTGAAGGAAGTAAACATGTACTGCCAAAGTGTGTATTCATATGTCTCTACGCACTCAGTCCATGCCATATTAGCACGTACGGACATGTTACGCATTATGTCATCACGGACATGTGTGGACGTCGGTATGCATGCATGCAAGCCGAGCGGCATGTGCACTCATACAGCCTTCATATAATAATCCCCCTTAAGTAGATAGAATATGGGCTATATCTCGATCTTAATATCGCTCCAACCCTATAGTCCACCTTATAAGCCTATATTACCTATTGAATCCCTTAAGTAGATAGAATATGGGGTAAATGGGAATGTTATTATAATATACCCAAAGCCATATTCTATCTGCATAAGGGAGACTATACCCCGAAACCCCAAGGATCCCCTTATAAAGCCCCATATAACATAGTCGTTTCCATTTTCGTTTCCACTGTCCCTATATAACCCCAATATATTATATACCAATATATCTACTTGAGGGGGACCATATCTAGGGTTAAAACCATGTGCCCTTAGTATGGGCCCTTAACCCTGGGATCCTTATATACTTACTATATACATAGGGCCCATATTTGGGGTCCATACTTCTAACCTTCTACCATAAGCCAAGGAGATGGTTAAGTTCCTGGTTGCTCCTCACAGCCTTAGGTTTCTCCTTCTCTAAGCTGAAATGATTTCCTAAATAAGCGTAATTAAGGGGGAGCCTAGGGAGAGAGAGTAGTGTAGAAGGGGGTGGTCAGGTAATCCATAGCATTATATCCATGGCTCGAAACAAAGCCCTACGGCCTAACTTGGTGTACCCTAAATTGTAGTTATGGTAGTCTCACTGAATAAGGTGACCCCAATATAGACCCCCAAATACTATGATGCTTATTATGGGAACCCCCAAAGAAGGTACACCTAATTTTGGGAAACCCTATTATGGTCCACTTATGGTCGGAAAGTCCAAGTGGGTCATAAACCCCAAGCCTTCTCTTCCCAGGTCTCTGGTTAGAAGTATGGGCCTTTAATATGGGCCCTTAGCCCGTTTTGGGACATTCTAGGGAGCCTTAAGGGTACATATAGGGTAAAAATAGGTATGTAAGGATCCAGGGCTAGGACCCTAAACCCTAAACCCTAAACCCTAAACCGTGTAGGGGCCCATGGATTTAACATAAGACCAGGGACTTGGTGTGCAGCAGGACGCTGCAGAGGCCAAGGACTGGTACGACACTCGGCGCCCATGCAAGTCAGTTCAGTAGTTATTTAGTTGGGGGTACTATAGTACCCATTATAGAGTAAGATTATATCCTCCTTTTGGGGTATAGTATTTTATATAAGGAATATTATCTTACTAGGTTCAACCACCAAAAAGACGTTACTCAGTTGTAGCATCGGCTTTAGGATTTGGGATCTGAAGAATTAGACCATGGTTTTGGATTGGCTTCTGTTGTGTATCTACAAGGGGAAGCAGTTAGGTTTAATCATTATAACAAGGTCTTGGACCCTAAGCCCTAAACCCTAAACCCTCGATATGCTTCTACAATCGGAATGTGTCAGCGTCTTTGTGCTTCGGCTCTGCCCTTTTTGCTTCAGCTAATAGGGGTTATATAGGAGTTATATAGGGATCATATA